GTAGGGCAGGGAGGCGTCGGGATGACCCAGAATGGGTGCCGAGGTAAATAACTTCTTTAGTGCTTCAAAAGCTTCCTGTGCCTCTGGCGTCCATCTGAATCGCGTCCCGAGCTTGGTTAACTGAGTGATGGGGGAGACCAGACCCGAGAAGTTCTTGATGAACTTCCGGTAGAAGTTTGAGAACCCAATGAAACGTTGGACACTTTTCCTGTCCGTGGGTTCAGGCCAATCTAGGATCGCAGAGACTTCTGAGGGTCCATTGCGACCCCCGTGGTGGAGATAATCAGACCCAGAAATGTAACGCTAGCCTGTTCAAAGCAGCATTTCTCTGCTTTAGCGTACAACCCGTGCTGCCCGCAACCGCCCCAACACCTTTCTTACATGTACCCTGTGCTCCCCCAGGGAGGATGAGAAAATCAAAATGTCGTCTAAGTAGACGATGACAAAGATGTCCAGGAAGTCCCTAAAGATGTCGTTTACAAAGTGCTGGAAGGTGGCTGGCGCATTGCACAACCCGAAAGGCATGACCAGGTATTCAAATGGCCGAAACGGGTGCGGAAGGCCGTCTTCCACTCATCCCCCTCCCTTATGCGAACCAAATTGTAGGCTCCCCTTAAGTCCAGTTTGGTAAATACTACTGCAGCTTTTAAGCTCTGGAATAATTCAGGTACCAGTGGTAATGGGTAACGATTTTTTAATTGTGACCCTATTCAGCTCCCGATAGTCAATACATGGCCTCAAAGTCTTGTCCTTCTTTTCTACAAAGAAGATCCCTGCACCTGCTGGGGAAGTGGAGGGACGGATGAATCCCTTTCGGAGGCTGTCCTCAATATAGTCCTTCAGGGCCCCTAATTCTAGCTCAGAAAGGGGAAAAATTCGCCCGAACGGAATTTCAGAACCGGGTAACAGATCAATAGGACAGTCATATGGGCGGGGGGGGGGTAGAGCATCTGCTCCCCGTTCACTGAACACATCCAGAAACTTATGATAGGCTGCAGGAATCACTTGTTTTAGACTGTCATCCCCTTCAGAGCACAGGAGGACCTGGGGGACCTCCGGGCCCGAAGTTCGACACAGTTCCCGACAGTATGGGGAAGGGAACGAGACAACCCCAGTTTCCCAGTCAATTTGGGGGTTATGGGCCCGCAACCAAGGGAGCCCCAGAATGACTGGGAAAAGGGGTGATGCAATAGCATCCAGGCGGAGGAGTTCCCGGTGCTGACCGGCAATGGAAGTCACAATGGAAGGGGTCTCCTGTTAACTACCCCTGACTTTATCCGGGAACCATCAGCCCAAAAAGATGTGAAACCCCTTCTCCTTTGGGCGGAGGGGGATACCCTGCTGGTGAGCAAAATTGATATCCAAAAAACAGCTGCATGCCCCCGAATCAACTATGGCCGTCACCTCCACGGTCCTTTCTGAAAGCTGAAAAGGAGAGGGGAACAACTAAGTACTGGGACGGATTCATATTGCCAACAGATAAAGAAGATGAGGTGAACTTACTCAGTTTCTGCGGGCAGGAACGCACCATGTGACCAGCTTCGCCGCAGTACAGACACAGATTCTGGGAGCGTCTGCGCTGGCGTTCCTCAGGCGATAGTTTAGGCCGTGCCAGGCCTAGCTGCATGGGTTCGGGAGCATCTTCAGACGGCAGGTTCTGGATGTTTGGCCTAGTATGTTGACCGGATCCTTGGAATGACCCCCAGGTATTTCCGCGACCCTGACCAGACCTCTCCAATCTGCGCTCCCGTAGCCTACAGTCAATTTTAATGGTGAGTGCAATCAAGTCCTCTAATGTCTCGGGCACCTCCACCCGGGCGAGCTCGTCTTTCAGAGCCTCAGAAAGGCCCATACGGAACTGGTGCAAAAGTGCGAACTCGTTCCAACGAGTGTCACCCATCCAGCGCCTAAAGTCAGAGGCGTATTCCTCAGCCGCCCGCCGACCTTGTCGGAGTGCGTATAATGTGGCCTCGGCCGAGGCCGCCCGTTGTGGGTCATCGTATAAGATGGCCATAGCGTTAAAGAAGCTATCGACCGTAACCAGGTGAGGATCATTGTTTCCCCTTAGTCGGTGGGCCCAGTCTTGGGGTTCACCCTGCAACAGGGAGACAACAAACCCCACTTTCACCGATTCTGTCAAAAAGGTCCGTGGCTGCAGTTCAAAATAGAGCAGACAGGAGTCACGGAATGACCGAAAGCGTGTGCGATCCCCGTGGAAGCGCTCGGGTAAGGGTACTCTCGGGGTTCCGCCATAGGGAGTGATGTGGAAGGCCCAGGAGCCGGCTCGTGGGCTGCTGCGACCCGGCGGTGCAGGAGCCGGGGCCTGTGAAACAGGAACAGATATGGTGCAGGCCTGAAACCGATTCTCGATCTGCAGACATCTGTCCTGTAATGTGTTTACTGCTTGCGTCAGGGTAGCCAGGTGCCTGCAAACCTCGTCCAACGGGGAGAGTCCTCCTCGAGGCTCAGTCATGGCCTTCTGGTACTGTGAGGGACCGCCGAGCGGCACCACTAGCACTCCACTGGTCAGGCGTGCCCAGAGCGCGGAGTCTAAGCCCCAGGGTACTTGTTCACCAGGGGCCCCTGATGGTGGGGATGGACTTGTAGTACCCCGAGACCAGGTCGCCTCTACTGAGCACACACCTGTCAGTGGTAGGGTGTGTTCGCCAGGGGCTCCAACCAGGGAGAGCCAGATGTGAGGAGGTCGGGTGACCCCGATGGGATGGATGGATGGCTGAGCAAGCGCGTAGTCAGACAGGCCGAGTCGGTAACGTAGAGGACGGTAGGGTACAAGGGAGCAGGCAGAGAATCGTCGGGTCACACGCCACGTCAGCAACAGGAGGTCAGATCTAATGAGGGGCATCCAGGGAGAGAGGTCAGGCAAGCAAGGGTCTGGGCAGGAGAAATCAGCAGGTCAAGAAACAATCGGGTCAATAAACTTACTAGGCACAGGTACAGAATCACAGGAAGCAGGTAAGACCAGAAGGCAACGAAATGACAGCTCAGGGACCTTTAAATATCCCGCCCTGCGCTGCCATTGGTGCCCAGCGGGCGGCCGCGGGCTTCTACTGCGCATGCGCGAACTCGAACGCCGCGGCCGGCCCGGACCTAGTGCCCGTGTACAGGGCGGAGCAGTGCGCCTGCGCCGGGACCATCGCGGCAGGGATCGAGGAGATCCCTGACAGGGGGAGAGGGGAACAAGCGATGAAAAAAAAAAAACAACAGGAAGTGTCATTTATCTAGTACAACACAGCTGCTGTTATACATAGACATGAATAGTAATAATAACAATACAAATTCAAGAGAACTGTTTCAGCGAATAACTTCCAGCTATTAGCAAGATAAGTAAATCCCCTGTATTACAAGTGGAGGCAGATAAAAATGAAATTCAAATGATAAAATACTTGAAGTAGGGAGAAGAGAGAGAATGAGAGAGAGAAGACAAAAAGTGGGGTGGGGTGGGGTGGGGTGGGGGGTTTAAGGGATAAGGAGGACAATGCTGGTCACAAGGACTCCTAAGTGGAAGGATGAGGGGAAGAAATACCAACAGACAATAAATCTCCAAAACAAGGGGGACTGCAAATTAGAGGGAGTCAATTGTGGAGCTTATTCGAAGAACAGTAGTGTAACCATATACACCATAATGTATTATGTTTAAGATTTCAAATTTAAAATGGTTCATAGATTTGGGAGAGTGCATCAGAATGTGGATGTCCTTTCCTAGATTTATTGCTATTTTGTCCAAGATGTCAATGGAACTAGCCTAACATACATACTACCAGCACATTATGGATCTCAAATAACCTCAAAATGTTTTATTCAAGATGATCACATCACAGCGGAAAAGAGCACTGTTTTTGGGCCATGTAGGACCCTTTGACGGGCATGAGATCTATCATGGAACAGGAAGGGTGGGGGTTATGTGAATAGTTAGCCTGATTCTTTCTCTGCAGCCCTGCCTATTAAATAGGTGAGCTTAGAGAGATGGTGGTGTGTGAAAAGGAGAGCACTGTAGCCTAGACCCTGGTATGTGAAGAGGAGAAAACTGTAGCCAGGACCCTAGTGAAAAGCTAAAGGACTTGCATGCCTTGGACTCTACTTTGAACCGTGATGAATCTAAGCACACACGATATATTTCTGTGTTAAAAGGCTATTATATGTGCTAAAAAGAAGCTGCTGTATGTTCTGTTTGCATTGATACTGAAGGAAAAGCCTGTTTTGTGTTTGCTGAAAAATAAATCAGATTGTAAGTTCATAGAACTGTGTTGCTGAGGTTTGTTTTTCCCCTAATCCCAACACAATATATTTAGCATTTAGGATATAAATATAACATGATGATAACAACGTAATATAACTATCTGTGAAAAATGCTGTCATTAAAGAAGTTATAAACTTACAAAACACACCAACACTATTAGTATATTGTGGAGATAAAACCATGTCCTTAAAAATTACATTTAACTTACATAAGAAAAAATAGGATGCTATTGCTGAGATTTGCTTTTTGAAATGCTCATGGCCTGGCAGTTTACGCTGATGCAGAAGCTTCACTACTTTCAGTCACTGACCTGGAACAAGTATGTAGATGAAGAGTTCTGGTTTCACTTTGGCTTCATTTGTTGCATGCTTGTTCTAGGTTAGTGATTCAGCAATTATTGAGACTGGAGTCAGCCAACAATGAATTTCTGTATTTTTCTCAGAACAGATTTAACTTAAATGATCCAGACAAATGATGTTGAGAGTAAATAATTGTATACAGTCAATACGTACCTACAACGTAATTAAGAACATTCCAGCCTCCAAATGCAAACATTCCCTGGTAAAAGGCTTCTCCGATCTGTGATATGTTAGGTATATCCCCTTCGAATGCCCTGTGAAAGTTTTGTGTCTTGCCCATTCCCAGCTGGACAATTCCACATAAGGCAATGGCACTGAGAGAAGCCATCTTCAGCACTGTGAAAACATTCTGAGCTACAATAATCCATTTTGTGCTCATACAGTTAATGATCCCTACAATTAAAATCACTGAGATAGCTATGAGTTTTTTTTATGGCTTCTGGTGAAGAGCATGCTGGGAAAAATGGCTGCGTAGTGTATTCCGCAAACATCAATGCTTGAACGGTTATGACTGCTGGCCTGAGAAAAATAACAGAGCACCATAAGAAAATGTATGCAGGGATGGAGCCCAGAGCTCTTTTAATATAATAATATTCCCCACCAGATGATGGAAAAGTAGTTCCCAATTCAGCATAACACAGTGCTCCAATCATTGATATTATCCACATACTGTCCATATCACCAATGAAACCCCAACATTTAGCTGTGAGAGGAGCAAGACGGCCCCTGGTGAGACGAAGATTCCAGTGCCCAAGATGACCGCAAAGATGAAATTAACAGCGCTGAAGAATCCAATAGTTCTTTTCAGGACAACCTTCTGCTCCACGGTGTTTAGCTGTTCATCCATTGTCCCTTACATTCTTCTGTCACTCTCATTATAACTGCGTCTGTTGTGTTTATACTGGCACGGAACATCTAATTTTGCAATGCAAGTGTTTAAACAATAACATTTACCCTGTACTTTGCTCATTGCATACTGCGATTAGGTATAAATACTTTATCAATGTAACATTCTAGCCGTGTATCATTTACTGTATTACCTCTGTTTACACTTTTTAATTCAGAAGCATTTACAACTGCTGGACATATTTATTAATATAGTGCAAAGAAAGAATATCCTGTAAAGCGCAGTAATTCAGAGCAAGTATCCAGATTTCAGCTTTCATTGGTTTGGGCAATCAGACTAGTAAACGTTTGCTGATTGGCTACTCAGTGCGCCTAATCGTTTTAGTCTGGTCTGTATGTGTATTTCTCATTATTATATTTCATGTTCTTAATTCTTGTACAGGTGTTTTGGAATGGTGAAGGGCAGGGCCGGATCTAGCTTATCTGATCAGGGGAGGTGCAGTAAAAAAAAGTCAGGGTGCACAATGTCAACACTGTGTGTGAGCCACTGATAGTCTGTCACACAGTGTCACAACCTAGGAAACGCTATTAAACAGAACCTGTGCCCTCTTATATTAGATGTCCCAATCAGAGTGCCCTCTTACACCAGGTTCCTATCAGAGTGCCCCCTTACTTCAGGTGTTCCCATCAGAGTGGCCCCTATCAGGGCCCCCAACAGACTGCCTTCTTACATCAGGGTCCATAATAGAGCCCCACTTACATCAGGTGTCCTCATCAGAGTACCCTCTTGCATATGATCAATTATCCCCATCAGAGTGCCCCCTTACATCAGGTGTTCCCATCAGAGTGCCCCCTTACATCAAGTGTCACCATCAGAGTGCAGCCTTACATTAAGTGTCCCCATCAGAGTGCCCCCTTACATCAAGTGTCCCCAACAGACTGCTCCCTTACATCAAGAGTCTCCATCTCCACATGAAGCGATCCCATCAGAGTGCCCCCTTATATCAGGTGTCCCCATCAGTGTACCCTCTTACATGATGTTCCATTAGAGTGCTTCCTTACATCAGGGTCCCTATTAGAGTACACTTTACATCAGGGATCCAAATCAGAGTGCCCCCTTTTATGGATTGTCCTTATTAGAGTGCCCCTTACATCACCTCTCTGCATCAGTTTGGCTCATTGATCAGTGGATGCACTATCAGAGACTGGGGTGGACTAAAATCTAAGAGAGGGCACAGCCCACCCTAGCACCTCTCTAGATCCGGACCTGGTGTAATGTAATCCTTTCTGATTAGTACTGTAGAAGAGAAGCAATAAGAAAAATCAAGAGCAATGCTTTTGTTCAAGTGCAGCTACCCATAGCAACCATTACATGTAAATTGATATTTTATTGTTTTTTTTTTCGAGTTACTAACCTCTACACATCAATGTTATCACACAAACAGTTATAAGCCTGAAAGTGCATTGAACTAATTCCAATTTAGGTATGGAAGTGTTAATCTGGTAGAGCAAAGGCTGCAGAATGGATCCCAAAGAGGTCTGGCCCAAAATGCAATAGTCATTTTAAAAAAAAAAAAAAAGAAGTATTTTATATATGTAATACTACCCCCTTAGGAGTCGCTAAGTTTTGGGTCCTCCTAAAGCTCTGCACGGCCAGGCAATAATTTTCTTCCACACTTTGCATTCGGAGTCAGTAAACAGTCCTTGAGCTTGGTTTTGTGGGTTTATTAGGGGTTTAGAACTTGATGGGGTTGAAGGGTTTATGGGATGCCCAAGGAAACTGCAAACTTGAAGACTAACTCCTTAGCAACTATGTAGAGATATGAACAAAATAGTCTCTCCTTTAAGAACAATCCAGCTCTCTGGTGCACAGGGGCGGACTGACAACTCATGGGGCCCCCGGGCAATAGGGGATCATGGGGCCCCTGTGTCCTTGCTCAAACTCAAAAAAGCCTATGGAAAAGGTACCAGGGGCATCTCATGGGGCCCCCTACTGACCCCGGGCCCTCGGGCAGTGCCTGAGTTTCCAAATGGTCAGTCCGCCCCTGCTGGTGCACCTCCTCAGACCCCAGATGAATCCTCCTCTTCACCCAGCTGTCTGAGAGTATTCCCTGGGCAGAAGCTGCCAATTCAGCACAGCATGCCCAGATGAGAAGTCTTCTTGGGTTTTGCACCTGACTGCCCTCTTCCGTTATCCAGCCCAGGGTGTGTAAGAATACTCACACTGTCCTCTCTTGACAGCTTAATGGGTTGGTGGCTGCCTTCAGGCCTTTCTCTGAGCTGGCTCCTTCCCTGCTGCTCAAGATGTCCTCCTTTGGAGATGGTGGCTCAATGGAGATCCTCTTCTCCAGCACCTGCCTGTAGGTAGGCCCTTTCCCTGGGCCCACTCCCAGGCTCCACACTCCAGCCTCTCGCTTCATTTTCCACCCAACACTGCTCCAGTTGCCCAGGCTCTGCATTACTTAAGGATTGCCTTGGTCACCATGCCCAGCTTCCTGCTAGGGGATTGGCCAGAGTCCCTCAGGTATGCAGATCCAAGCTTACTCTCCTCCTTCATCCCTCTGCCAGAAAGCTCTCAGGTTTCTGGGGAGGTGGGAGGGCTCCAGAGTCTCTCTGATCTTCAGAAACTCCCTAGCCTGTCCTGAGGTAACCTCTCCATCTCACTCCCAGGCTGCTACTCAGCCACTGCCTAAAAAGAAAGGAAAAGAACAAACTCTCTCCGGCTAAGCTGGAGGGCGTTACATATTAAAAAAAACAGCTACGTGTGATACAGAGTGCTGTGCTATGAGGTCTGCTTAAAAAACAATAATATGGCTGTACCACAGCCCTACCATTTCTTAAAACCCATCTCTGGGAATTACAAAAAACTGCCCTTGCAGTGGGGCCTCCCACTGCAAAGGTTAAAAGCTTTTTTATTTTAGATGTAGAGGAAGAAGGTGTAATACTTTCCTAATTCGTTGCTCCAGCAGGCACCCTACATCATAACTCTGCATTGTAAGTGAGGAAGGCAAGGAGCTGCCCATAACCTTGAGCGGAGGAGAGTGCCAAAGTCTGCTGAAGCAAAGAGTAAGATAAGTACTGCCCTTAACAAGTTAATAAGCATTTAAAGTTTGCAGTGCGGGGATGGGGGATTTCCACACAAGGTACAGTAGTTTTCTTGTCATTTCTGGAATCGGGCTTTAAAAAAAAAAACAGCACAGATCTGCTTTAAAATGTGCACTGTGCTCAACTGGCTTTAGGAGTCTGAAGCTGCTGAAGCACAATAAACATTAAAGCCACAAGAAAAGCCCAGTCTCATGAGCTGTTAATCACATAAGCGACTGCATTCAGTGAGTTCTTTCTGCTGAGGTAAGCTAGGTTCACATTATGGTGGGTGCGGGAATGCTTGTAAATCGCATGCATTCCCAAACCTGCAAGAACCCAAAATGCACTTAATTCTTAATGGCAAACCTATGCATCAAAAAATGTGGCATGTTTTTGAATGGTACCAAAGCACCACATGATTCCGTGGTTCAGAGACTTTTATCCTGCATTTCCAGCAGATACAGCAGCCCATTCAAATGAACTGGCTGTTGTGGCTGTGCAAATGTGAACCATACCACCCGCAATAGTGTGAACCTAACCTTAAGCAGAGAGAACTCTGCAGGATACCACAGGCTGCATACAATGGCTCACGCTTCACGAATGGAATGCAGTAGTACAGTGAGTAATAGCAGATAGTGGATAGTGATATGTGACCTCCATTATAAAATGAGCCTCTAAAAGTCATTTATTTAGAGTTATGTGAAGAACTGATTTAATGGGGCCCAAGCCAGATCCATCACTGCTCTTCACACACACTGCAGTTGAGTCCTGCTAGGCTATAGAAGTGATATATGAGGAATAATCATAATATAAAATCTGCAGAAAGATGCTTATTTGAAAACACAGTAAGCAGTAACTCCTAATAACCAACGAGACCTCAGTTTACAACAAAAGATTAATTCTAACTGAATATGGGTTATTTCACATACTTATTATATGCTTGATAGTGATGGGACTTTATAATCCTTAAGTGCTGGCTCACATATATGCAGATTGAATACGGTTTGAACCGCATCCAATCTGTATGACATGTGAAATAACATTGCTTTCTATGGTGCCTGGTCCAGATATGTCCAAAAGCAACTGGTGGTGAGGATTCAGCGCGGATGCAGCTGCAAGATTGAAAAAGAGTACAACTTCTGAGCAATGCGGTCCAGTTCAGGTGCAGGTTACAGGCTAATATTGGATGTCTATTGGAACTGTTTTTTAAACCACATAA